ATACTTAATAACATCTTGCAGAGCTACTGTTCTATGGACATCGCTAACCACTTTTCACCTCAAAGGACTGACTGTGTGCCTACTGTGATGGTTAAGGTTTGAGAAAACGAGGGATTAAGACTTCCTGGGTTGGAATCTCAATTCTCCCTTGGCTAGATATATGGCATTTGGCAAGTGATTTTATCTCTTGGCCAGATTCCTCAGCTATAAAAAGAAGTTAATAATAGTACCTAATCAAAAAAATTGTTATGAGAATTAAGTGAGATAATGCAGGTAGAGAGTTGTATAATAAGTGTTCAGTAAATTATTGCTATTCCACTCTGCCTTAAAAATCACTGGTTAGTGAAGACCTCTCCGATCCCAGAAAAATTTGGGGTGAAACATAAGCTTACAAGTGAGTGACTAAAGCAATGGGCAAATATTGTTGAACCTCTATGATACCATGCTAGGAGTGTGATGGAGTTAGGTCTCTTCATTTATTTCAATAATCATGCAAAGTATCGATCATTAATTCCAATTTACAAATGAGACTACTGAGGCTCAGACTGTTTAATAATATGCCACAGTGACACAGCTAGTGGATACAACAATGAGAATTTGGCCAATGTCTGGCTGAGAAAGCAGCATTTCATTCATATATACTACAAATCCTGTTAGGCAAACTTAGTGAAAATGTCCAGGTCTGAATCAATAGAATCATGAATGTTCCTTTCTCCATAGCTATCATTTGGAACAGTGAGAAATACTCATCCTCAATGGAACTGACTACATGCAGTTAACCCTGCCACAGTATTGATCTTCTCTCATGGGGCAATTCAAAGTAGTTCACTTAAAAAAACACACACACACAGCTATTAATTAGATGCATCAGTTTCCAAAAAATTGTATCAGAGCCTGTTGGCACTTAGAAATGCGTTAACCCACCCAGAAGCTGGCAGTCTGCACTCTAAAAGCAAAATTAGAAAATGTAACTTTGTTGAATTTAAAAGAGAGTATGTATTGCTAAAATACTCATGCTTTATTTAATTACACTCTGTATATTTGACATCGTTTTGCTGGATCTTTTCTGAAACACGATAAAATCATTCATGTTTTAGAGATGCAGCTGACTCTAAAAGAGTACTTTCCAGCCAGGTGTTACATCCAGATGGATTCCTGGAATGCTTGGTGATACCACCATCAGCCAGAGCTTCATTCTCACCTTCACTGTAAAGGCAAATACCTTGTATGTAAATGCTTTAATCCCGTTAGAAGCTGTGATGTTTCTTTAAATGGAGTAAATGGTACATTGACGCTGGGGGTGCTAAAATATTGACTATGGGGTACAATGCCTGGAGAGACAGGAACGCAAGTCAAGTGTGTAGATTGATTGGGATACACTGGAATGACGAGGAAAGAAACACAGAGTTAGGACACCCAATTACATTAAGCATTTAGTGACAATGTTAACATGTGTGATGGCAACCTATCAAAATAAGATGCATAGAATTGAATGGAAAGGTTTGCATGGCCAGAGTTATTGTTAAGCTATTAACTAGTATTAATTTGGGAGAATTATTAGTGAAAGGTGCTTTGCAAACTGTTATCATCTGTATGGATGTTTTGGACAAGGTTTTTGCTCTTGTTTTTGTCTTCTTATTGGAAAATAACAATAGTCACCGTTTTCAGAATTAATTACTCTGGGAAAGACCTTTGTACTCTGACAGAGTGCATTTGTTCTTATGAAAAGTTCTTTTTGATATTGATGTTGTATAGGAAATGAACCTGCTAGTGGTTGTCTTCCTTTAATTAGGAAACTGAACAAGTCAGCACCGTTTCTATGCCACACACACAAAAGTGAGTATTATAAGAAACATGACTAATTTGCAGTAATTCAAAATGCTACGATAAATGACACAGCTCATTGTTTGAAAAATTATGAAAAAGTACCTTAAGGATGTCCTTAGAGAGAAATCAGGATACATGTTTCAGGCTAGAAATTCTTCATTCTGGCTACCTTTAAGAGTTATCTGGGGTATAGTTAAAATTATGGATCCTGAATTCACTTCAGACCAATTAAAACTGATTCTCTGGAGCTCCCAGCTGACTAGAATGTGCAGCCAGAGTTGAGAATCACTGATGTAGGCAATGCAGCCAGGCCACCGATATGCTCACTACTGAAAATCTAGGATTAACTTTCTGAAGGTTATAAATAAATTCACGCTGAGGTTGTAAAATACGTGTTGGAGCAGAGTGATGTCAGTAATGTCCTGACTTTATTTTCTTTCTGTTTAGTTTATGAAAAAGAAAAGCCCCGGTGTAAAGGTACTGCTCATGTAACAAGGCCAGCAAGCTACAGATCTGAATGTAAATCTCACTCAAATGAAGTAAATCTTGCATGATAATAGCAAAGGGCAAAAGAGAAGGTTAAGTAAAATGGTCTCTGTTCTAGGAAAAATAAATAAAAATTATATTGACTCCCAACAGAGGGTCAGGACAGAATCTTTCAGTATTACTGTTATTCCAAATACTGGGTGACTATCAACCAGTTTCAAATTTCAGTTTTGAAAGCTATCCATAGAATTGTGTGTTATTCTGACTGAAATACGAGCGATTTTCTCTACTTACCAAAAAAATTCTGATGTGAGTTTTTTCTTTACATATTCATATTATATTTGTTTATGTTGTTTAGAGAAAACAAGACAATATAGGCAGCAAGAGGAAAGAAACAAGCACAAATAATGTTACTGTATGGAGACATGCACTCTTAGCTGGCATATTGGTATATTTCTGTCTAGCTATTTTCCAATACGCTTTTAACTAAAATGAGAGAAAGTCTATATTTATATTTCAGCTATTTTCCCCCACTCAGCAACATGTCATGAAATGTTCAATAGTGCAATTACCAGAATATCCAATTTTATTCCATTCCTAATTCTTATCAAGAAAGCTGTGAGGAAAAATGTTTTTTTTTTCATTTATGATACTATTTTTTTGGGGGGGGAATAGATTTTTAAATGTAAAACTGTACTGAGTCTCTAAGATAAGTGCTCTATAGGTTTCATTCTTTGGCTCATCCTTAAAGAGCTGTTCATCATCAGCTTGTTAGCAAAGAAACAAAGATCAAGATGGTTGAATGAGCTTTCAAGTACATAGACTATCCCTTGCTCTGGAGACTTCATTAACATGATGATAAATAACTTTCAAAAAGTTGCAGCAGTTGCCAGTGTTCTTTTATTCTTAAATGTAAACAGATGAACAAAGATCACCAGAAACTCTTGGAAATTCTACAGCCTAAAAGAGAATGACTAATTTAAGTAGTCAGAAAAATGGATCTCAGCCACAGTAGACTTAGCCTTAAAAATCAAAGGAAAACTTAAGATAATCACAAGTGTAATTAGAGAGATTAGAGATGTTGTGTTCATGAAATACAATAAGATGCTCTGAAAAAGCTACATTCTGAAAACAAAAAAGACTCTTGGAAATCAAATATACATATATGACCTCACCCTTCCCTCAACACACACACACACACACACACACACACACACACACACACACAGAAATGAAAAGTCATTTGGAAAGTGCAGGAAATCTTCCACAACTGAGGCAGAGGCAGAAATTAAAACCATGAGATGAAAACAAATGCACACACATACATGTACCCACACCAAAACATTATGTTGTATAATTTTGTAACACACAAAAATAAAGATAGTAAAAATGCACAGAGAGAAGAAAAAAAAAATCACTGACGAACAACAATCAGACAGCAATTGAGGTTTTAGCAGTAACAATGGTTGCTAGATGGCAGTGAATCAGTCTCCAGATTTTGAGGAAAATGATTTTTTAATGTTTACTTGTTTATTTATTTTAAGAGGTGGGTAAAGAGAATCCCAAGCAGGCTCCACACTGTTAGTGAAGAGCTCATTGTGGGACTTGACTTCCAGATCTGTGAGATCATGAAATCATTGCTTGACCCATTGAGCCACCCAGGAACCTTGAGGAAAGTGATTTTTAGCCTAGAACTTTATAAATAAGAAAATAAAATGAAATTTAAGAGTGAACTGAAGTCACTTCAGACATACAGTAACTTAGAAAGTTTGCATCTCACATGAGCCTGCAGAGGTAATTGCTTGAAGATATACTAAAAAAAATGAGATTGAAAAGTAAGAAAGAAGAGTATGTGGGAAATTAGAAACTGGACTGAATCCAATAATCCAATGAGAAGCCAGTGAACACCAAGAACTTTTTAAAGAAGAAGAATGAGATAAAAGATATAAAAATAAGAATCTGGAACATATGGGAATATTTAGAAGATGAGGTATTTTCTCCTCTCAAGAAGAAAAAAAACCCAGAATCTAGGAAAACAAAACTAACTAAAGTTTGTGGTACAAAGAAGAAAGTTTAATGTGGCATGATTTTGAGTATTTGATGGAGGGCTGGAAAGGGGAAACAATTCGACCTTGACTCTAGGGATACTCAAGAGTGGCACAGAGGTCATAACAACTTGGAACTGCCAAAGCATTATTTGCCAAGAGACAAGAGATATCATTAAAATGTGAGAGAACACAATATAAAGGTATAAATATACTATTTAAAGCTACAAATTTAATCAGCAGAGAGATCTAAAATTTTAAATGGCAATATAACTATGACAATTTGAAAGGTTATGCAAAATCTTCATCTGACACAACAGGGGATTAACAGATACTGCTGAAATTTGAAACAATCTAGAAATAACAGTATTAATGTGCTTATTCACAGAGAATTGAAAGAAAGTGTCAAAAAATTCTGGGTTATGAGAATTGTTCATTACGAATCTTCTTCTACTACTTGAATTTCAAACTTTACCTGAAATAGCTTACTCATTTTTTCACCTTGGATTGTTATACTCACCCATCAAATACTAAAGACCAAGCATGCATCTTTTTCTTTAAAAATAATGTTCTAGATTTGAAGAGGGCAGCTTACATTTGGAGAGGGGATAAAGGAGTAGGAAATACTAGAAATCAACTTACCCAAGCAAAAGTCACTGAGGTCAGCGAAAGAGCATTTGAGCACAGAGTCTTTATTATCCTCCTCAGCATTAACTGGGAAAAGAAAAAAAAAAAAGACATTCATTGTTTTGGGAAATAGAAACATTAACATTTAGAAAAATGACCATGGTGGCTGATGTCCAAATGATAGCCAAACATAAAGAAACTTTTTTTTTCAACGTTTTTATTTATTTTTGGGACAGAGAGAGACAGAGGATGAACGGGGGAGGGGCAGAGAGAGAGAGGGAGACACAGAATCGGAAACAGGCTCCAGGCTCCGAGCCATCAGCCCAGAGCCTGACGCAGGGCTCGAACTCACGGACCGCGAGATCGTGACCTGGCTGAAGTCGGACGCTTAACCGACTGCGCCACCCAGGCGCCCCTAAAGAAACTTTTTTAAGTTAACGAGTTGAAATTGGTTAATTAAAATTTCACTCAGTAAGAGAGATATCTCAATATAGAGATATATTATATTATCTATATATTATATATCTATACATTATATCTATTATTGAGATATTTCTCAATAATTATTGAGAATATTGAAAATATTGAATATTGAGAATATTGAAAATATTATTGAGAAATATCTCAATAATAGATATATCTCTATTATATTTTAATACCTTCATTTTCTTGAGTAATTAGCTACTAGAAAAGTAGTTATTGGACATGGATGTAAGCTACTTATAATTGGTAGTGATTTCACAATATTATTGAAAAGAGACTCTTGGTATTTTCAAGTTATCCAGAGGAAGAAATAACCCCAAGGAATCACAAAGGAATGCATTCTCATGAGACAAAAGTATGGGATGGGAAAATAAAACCATACCTCATCCACTGAATGACAGGGGGCTTGGTTGTACTTTGACTCTTGGCTTTTGTGAAAAGGAATTGTCTAAAAGCATAATGGTGTCTCAGATTGGCAGATGTGTGGAGAAGGGTGACCAGGGTGGCCACAGAGTCTCATTAATGTGGAATTTAGCTGGCACTTCCCTGTATTTCATCCCTTTTAATATCTATGACTTCAGTGGCAACATCTGATTGCTAACACTTGTCCAACCATATCTTCCCGCAGCCAAATCTTGATTGCTTTACTGTCAATATTATATAAAGTTTTTAGTCTTTCTTTTTAGAAAACTGATTTTATTATTGCTGACATAGTCTACTCAGTTACTGGTTATAAATTCTCACCAGAAATGATAATGACCTAGCAATTCAGGTAGATGGCCTGTCTGCTCCTGCAAACAGAAAATATTAGGTCCAGGTTCCCATACGGTTGGCTACTTTCAAGTCAAGGAAGAAGCAAAAACACATCTGGCCAACCACTGGCCTCCCATTAACTAGTGTACTGTTGTTTCTATGCCAGCCTTCTTGCAAAAGAGCTCTAATAATTACTAGTAGAATGGATGAAGGAAAGAAGGAATGGCTTGAAAACACTTACTCTGCAAGTTGAACAAAAGAACAGGATAGGTGCTCACCTTGCTCTGCTTTGTCAGCGGAGATTAAGGTCACAGAAGTGGGAGCCTGAGATTCACTCTCCGTTGACTGGAAGAGAGAGGTGGATTGGCTCAAACTCTTTGAGTAGGCATAGCTCTGGGCAAGGCAAGGCAGGGATCTCCGGGACGGTTTTAACGAAGTTTCTTTTGTTATCTCACTCTTGCTTATATTCATACCTGCAAATTCAAAATGGCGAGTTTTAGAAGTGAGAAATAATCAGCAAAAGGCAAAAAATACATTTTAATTCTTGCGATGACGGTTTCAGGAAAGTACTCTTGAAAAGCACCACATAGGGACTAGAACTAATTGAGTTCATTTTGTTTATATTTTGTCAGGGAAAGTGAGAAATTTGTCAAACAGTTCTGAGAAATAAACAGATTTCAGCTGACCTTTTATCATGTTTTTATTTAATTTTTCTTAAGTTTATTTATTTTAGAGAGACAGAGACAGAGTGCAAGGAGGAGATGGGCAGAGAGAGGAGACACAGGATCTGAAGCAGGCTCCAGGCTCTGACTGTCAGCACAGAGACTGCTGCAGGGCTTGAACCCAGAAACCATGAGATCATGACCTGAGCCGAAGTCAGATGCTTAACCGACTGGGCCACCCAGGTGCCCCTGACCTTTTATCATTTTTTAAAGCTTCTGTAAAACAAAAAAACAAACAAACAAACCTAACCATTTAAATTTCCAAGTAGCAAGTAAATAAACCTAGTACATAAACATTCAAATTACTATTTACTAAACTGAGCCCTTCTTTTTATACCCTATTCTCCCTTAAACATATACATACTACATTTGATTTTCTAATAATATTACAGATCAGGTATTATTATTTCTTTTTTTAAGTTTATTTATTTATTTTGAGAGAGAGAGAGAGAGAGACAGACAGACAGACAGAGAGACCTGGGGGGGAGAGGGGACAGACGGAGGGAGAGAGAGAATCTGAAGCAGGCTCCATGCCACCAGCACAAAGCTCAATGCAGTGCTTGAACTCACAAACCATGAGCTCAAGACCTGAGTGGAGATATGTTCAGAGGCCTAACTAACTGAGCCACCCAGGCACCCCCAGGTATTGTTATTTCTTTGGTGATGGGGAATTGAGACTTAGAAAGGAAAAGCAATATGAACTTATGTCACACAGATAAATGAGGAGAAAGGTGTTCATATTCCAAGCTAAAACCACATCGAGTTGTGTCTACAAATTAGTTCAAAACTCCTGAACATCATCTATTCACCCCCAAATTCACAACATTGAAATGTAAAGAACATTTAGCAAAGTCCATTCCAGTAGAGGTTAAAACACATAAACAACATAGCTATAAGCATATCTGTTTCTTTTTTTTTCTTTTTTTCTTTTTTTTATATATGAAATTTATTGTCAAATTGGTTTCCATACAACACCCAGTGCTCATCCCAAAAGGTGCCCTCCTCAATACCCATCACCCACCCTCTCCTCCCTCCCACCCCCCATCAACCCTCAGTTTGCTCTCAGTTCTCAACAGTCTCTTATGCTTTGGCTCTCTCCCACTCTAACCTTTTTTTTTTTTCCTTCCCCTCCCCCATGGGTTCCTGTTCAGTTTCTCAGGATCCACATAAGAGTGAAACCATATGGTATCTGTCTTTCTATGGCTGGCTTAACTCACCATCAAACTCTCCAGCCACATCCACGTTGCTACAAAAGGCCATATTTCATTTTTTCTCATTGCCACGTAGTATTCCATAGTGTATATAAACCACAATTTCTTTATCCATTCATCAGTTGATGGACATTTAGGCTCTTTCCATAATTTGGCTATTGTTGAGAGTGCTGCTATGAACATTGGGGTACAAGTGCCCCTATGCATCAGTACTCCTGTGTCCCTTGGATAAATTCCTAGCAGTGCTATTGCTGGGTCATAGGGTAGGTCTATTTTTAATTTTCTGAGGAACCTCCACACTGCTTTCCAGAGCGGCTGCACCAATTTGCATTCCCACCAACAGTGCAAGAGGGTTCCCGTTTCTCCACATCCTCTCCAGCATCTATAGTCTCCTGATTTGTTCATTTTGGCCACTCTGACTGGCGTGAGGTGATACCTGAGTGTGGTTTTGATTTGTATTTCCCTGATAAGGAGCGACTAAGCACATCTGTTTCTACCAGCCTCCCAATTCACCTGCCCATATGCTGAATCTCTGTATTAATGTGAATTTCTAATGTAGTGATTGAAAAGTGAAAAGGCTAATGCAAATGCATTAGTGCACAGAACGTTCAGTTAATGAATGTTACTCATCTTAAATTCAATTTTGAGACTGATTAAAATCTGGGTCATAATAGGTGTGGGCAAGGGGTGAAGAAAAGGAAAGGTACATTTTCAGCAATTATCATATTTAACATACAAGCAAATTGAACTAAATTCCCCTGAAATTTCTCAGGCCAATAATTGTTTAGCTACTCAGTTTTGTAGTCAGTTCACAAATAAACTCCAAATTTCTAAGTAGCTCTTCAAAGAATGGATTCAAATGAAGACACGTAGAGGTACCTGTATGTACTGTTGTTGAGACAAATGAGAAAACTGAGATAGAAATAACAAGGCAATTTTTACAGAGGTTCTACAGAAATAAGACATGGTTGAACGGATGAAATTCAGATAAACCTGGGTGTGGGGATTTTATCTTTCAGTATTATAAAAATATGTATCTGTTTTCACATTTAGTCTCAGTGTGCAAATGGAATGTGACCTTGAAGGGGACACAAGGAAGAACTGTGAATTGACTGGAAACAGAACACCCTGTCTCTTGATTTTCTGGGACCTTGTCATGACATGAAAAGAAAATACCCTCTTAAAGGGCTGCCTAGGTGGGTCAGTCAGTTGAGCGGCAGACTTGGTCTCAGCTCAGGTCATGATCCCAGGGTTATGGGATGGAAGCCACTGTTGGGCTGCATGCTGGGTGTGCAGCCTGCTTGGGATTCTCTGTCTCCCTGTGCCCCTCCCCCACTCATGTCCTATCTTTCTTTCCCTCTCTATCAAAAGTTAAAAGAAAAGAAAAGAAAAGGGAAGGGAGGAAAGGAGAGGAGAGGAGAGAAGACAAGAGAAGAGAAAAGATTCTCTGGAACAGGAATTCCCCAAGGTCCACAGAAAGCATAGTGAAATCCTGCAAAAACACTAGACAATTCTTCTTAAGGACCAACCAGTGTTTTTTACACTACATCCAAGGAATAACATAGGGCAAACCTGTCCTAGTAAGTTTTTATGTCTATTAGTCTTTTGTAATGTGATCTGATATATTTTTTTAAGAAACACCAATGTAGGACACTGTTTCAGTTTCTGGGGCCTGGTTGAGAATAATCTTTTACTCTAGCAGAACATATGAGTAAAAGAATTAATATTTGTGAAAGGGATGGGGAAGAGAGAAGGTGCATAGATGAAACACTGTAACAGTTGATGGTAAGGATGTTGAACTGAGAGAGACATGTCCCCTGGGCCCCCGAGAAATGGCTTGGGTGGGAATGTATAAAATACCATTCACTTTAATCCACTGACCCCAGCATCTAGCTTCAAAAAGCAACAACTTTCTGCATTTCTTACCATATTCAAACACGAGGGAAAGTTTCAACAGTTCTTTAGATGAAAGATGACTATTGACTTAGTAGACATTACTTCATAAACCGGTATGGAGACCAACTTAATTATGCTCACTGATGCTGCCAGTGTGTTCTGTCATTTCATTCATTCCAGTATGCACCTAGTCATTCACAGATATGAAATGGGCCTTTGCTCTCTGCAGGCACTCTGTTGGCCCTCGGTATACACTGGTGACCAAGGTAGACTTAGAATTTCTGCCTTCATGGGACTTGTATTCTAGTTGAGAATCAGACACCGACCAAACCAAAATAAATAAGTATATACACATAAATTGTCTGAAATGCTATGAAAATACAGGTATCGCTATTTTATTTATTTATTTATTCATTCATTCATTCATTCATTCATTCATTTATTTTGAGAGACAGAGAGAGAGAGAGAAGGAGAGAGAGAGAGCAAGAAAGGAGCAGAGAGAGAAGGAGGGAGAGAATCCCAAGCAGGCTCCATGCTGAGAGCACAGAGCCAGGCACAGGGCTCAATCCTAGGAACTGTGAGATCAAGACCTGAGCCAAAATCAAGAGTCAGATGCTCAACCAAGTGAGCCACCCAGAGGTAGGTAGTTATATAATGATGATAATAAAGGAGACTTCCTTTAAGAAGTGGTCAGGGACATTTTCTCTGAAGAACGTGAAGAAGAACCTAACATATAGAAAAGTGTTTATGTATGTTTGCATTGATGTCTGTGTGTGTGCATGTGTGTTTGTGGAAGGTGCTTTTACAGGACGATAATAACATGTATGAAAGTCATGAGGTAGGAAGATTGCAATGTATTTACAGAACTGGAAAAAAATATGTTTGTGGCACACTGAGACAGACAGGCATAAAGGAACTATTGCTGGAGTCTAGGTGAGTCTAGATGAGGCATAAAAATTAGCTACTGCTCTTTGGGGTATTATTTTATTTATTTATATATTTATTTGCCCTTTATTTTTCACAAATTTATGTCTTGTGGTCTTTTCTTGAATAATTGCATTTGTCAAAATTTACAAAAGATTTTTAAACACTGCCCACCCTAGATGGGAAAGAAACTGGGAGAGGTTAAGATATTTACTTCCTCCAGTTCATAAAACTAGCAACTGGCAGAACTGAATGTGAAAGTTATAGCTTCTGGATTTCAGAGCCCGGGATCTTTTCAGAATGCTCTATGGCTCCTCATGAGCCCCAATCCTGGATGGTTCATTACCATGGCTTCCCTTGGTATAAATATCACACACGTTTTTAGCAGAGAGCTTGGAATGTAGAAACCACAGAGCTAAAGCCAACTGAGCTTGAACCTATAGCTCAGAACCTATAATTCTATATCCACAATCTTAACAAACTGTGGAATATAATTTGATGAAAAAATGAACATGTGCTGCTTGGTACATATCAATAGGAAATGCCTACCCACCATGTATCTAAACTGTGTTTCTTGTGCTGATCTATAAAAGAATAGATATGAATAATATATAATCTGCTCTGAGTTAACAATGTGTGTAACTGATTTACACAAATTAAGTATCAAATATTATTTTTAAGACTGAGTTTTATTCATTTAGTTTTTTATCATTTATGTAG